TCACCTGCTGATAGACATTTGATTTATTTCTAGTTTTTGACTATTGGAAGTAAAACTGTTAAGAATATTTGTGTCTCATAAAGAATTCACAAAATTCTTTATGAAAGAATTCTTTTTTTTAAAGATTTATCTATTTATTTGAGAGAGAGAGAGTGTGAGAACAAGTGGGAGAAGGGGCAGAGGGAGAGAAACTGAAGCAGACTCCTTGTGTGACTCGGGGCTCGATCCCACGACCCAAGAGATCATGACCTGAGCCAAAATCATGAGTCAGACACTCAACCAACTGAGCCATGCAGGTGCCCCAAAAGTATTCTTAAAGTATAAAACTATACAAATATAAAAATATGCAGAGTCTTTAAGTTATAAAGGCATAGAACAGAGACGCCTAGTTAAAATATCTCTCAGTTGTTGTTAGAACAAAATCCAAGTTTCTTTGGTATTTTGTTACAAGGTTATTATGTGGATAGTAGCATAATCTAATTTTTTTAGTTCCACTTTTTCCCCCTTCTGCTATCCATAGACATGGTTCCCTATATCTACTGTAAAACCTTTCTGTGTCTGAGAAGCTGTCTCCTATTACTGATGCTTCTGTGCTTTACTCTGTTCTCCATCACTTTTTCCTGAGTCTAGCTCCATTCACTCGAGAGTTCTTGTGTGGTGGATGTTTAGCCTTATTACCCAGGCCTGACTTCTGTGCTCTCGGAAGTCTAGAAACCAGTAGGTAACCAGCTGTCTGTTTGGGTTACCATTAGTGGTTTCTTTGGCACCAACCTTTAACTGACCCCTCGCTGTACCGCTCAGGCTGCTAGTTAGGCTTTTGCTGTCTGATGACTGCCCCCTAAGTGTACCTTCCCATTTATTACAAATTCCTAGATTCTCCATCTGGCTCAAGTCAGGAATCTTCTGTCTTTTGCCAGTTGAGCCAATCCAAATTCCAGTGTGTGGCCTGCTCTGCTCACTTACTTTTGGGGACCTGACTACTCTCAACTCTTGGGGAACTCCAGCATACAGAAGTGCCTCTGTTTTCAACAGGCTTGGTTCCAAAGGATTGTTACTAAGTTCACGTGTCCCTTCAAGTACATGATCCCAGATGGGTTACTGCTCTTGCCATCTGATGGTGGCAGGGAGAGTTGGCACAGAGAGGGTCTGTTGCCTAGTTTGGTCATATTTAGGGAAGGTCTCAAATTAAAATCTTAAGTAGAAGAATGTCTTCTTGTGACGTATTTGCAGTTTGTTCTCCTTTATATCCTTCAGCCACACTGACCTTCTTTCTGTTTGTCCAATATACTCACCTCATTTCCCTTCTCATTTCTTCCTTAGGACCTTTGCATTTGTTGTCCCTTCTTAGAACACACTTCGACAAGTCTTTGGATAGCTGGCCTCAAACATTATTCACACCGCAGGTGAAATGTGATTGCTTTAGCAGGCCTGCCTGGACCACACTGCACCAGCCCCATCCGTCAAGCACTGTCTTACTCTATTGTATTTTCTTTGTAGAACTTATTGTTCACTGAATTTCTTTCATTCATTTACTATTTGCTGATTGACCTCTTCCTCCTGCACACACCCACATATGAATTAGAGCAGGGGGCAAGGAGAGCTCGAAGGACAGAATAATTCCTATATTGAGCAAAGGAGATGTTAAATAAATGCTTGTGTCAATGAATGCAGATAGTACCTCTGACTGCCTGTTGAAATCCTATTTGCTTTTGATGTCCAGCTCAAATAATAACTCTTTCAAGAACTTCTCCAGCCAGACGTTTTCTTTCTCTTTCACAGCACTTTTTATTCTTAATTTCTTGTATTATGCTCTCATGTCCACATTTTAGATTAAAATGTAGTGGATATAGGGATCATATCAATTTATTTTATTATACATTTCAGACTAAAGGACACAGGAAGTGATGAGAAGATGTTCGTTGAAATGATGAATACATGACAGTCAACCATATTATAAGACTGCTGACCATTTTATTCTTTTTCTTATTATGAAATATATAAAGCATACAGAAAAGAAACAATAATATTATACATAATATCCATGTACCCCTCACCTGCTTTAAAAAAATTAATATTAAAGACAGATTTGAAATCCCTTTTGTGACCATCTGCAGTACCGTGATTTATAAGAAATATCTATTTGGTCATCTGAATGACCAAATATGTATTTTTCATATATATTTGATGTATATTTCTTAAATATATCTGGTATTCTACATGGGTTTTTGGCTTAGAGCTTCCAAAACCCTTGGAATTTCCTAAGGGTTTGAGAGTCTGTGTTACGTTAATATTAGTTAATGTTAGTGTCTTTGTTATGTTAATGAAGTGACTTTTGACGAGATCGGGTGCCTTCAGGGTGGCATGGCTGTAGACGTGAAGTGACTTTTGGAACACACCTAAGGGTTGGGGCAGATCTGATCTCTGTGGAGCCAGTCATATGATTAGTGAGTTGGAACTTTTCAGTCCTACCCTCTGGCCTCCTCCTTCTGGGAGGGGAAAAGGGCTGGAGATTGAGGTCCATTGTCAATGGCCAATGATTAAATCAATTATGTTTATGTAACAAAGTCTGTAAAAACCCCAAGGGATGGAGTTCAGAGAGCCTCGCTGGTGGTGAACACAGATTTGGGGAGAATGGTGCACTCTAAGAGGGCATGGAAGCTTCACACCTTTTGTCAGTATCTTGCCCAATACCTCGCTTCCATCAGGTTGTTCCTGAGTTACATCCTTTTGTAATAAACTGGTATTCTAGTAAGTAAAAATGTTTCTCTGAGTTCTGTGTACCTCTCTAGCAAATTAATTAAACCTAAGGAGGAGATCATGGGAACCTCTGATTTATAGCCAGTCAGTCAGAAGTACAGATAACAACCCCGGGCTTGTTACTGGCATCTTAAGTGGGGGTACAGGACGGTCTTGTAGGACTGAACCCTTAACTGTGGAATCTGATACTCTTTCCAGGTAGATAGTGGCAGAATTGAGTTGAATTCTCATATTCTCCAGTGTCCAAGAATTGCTTGGTGGTGTGGAAATCCTCCTCAACCCCTTGCTGAAATGGGGTCGACGAACATAAAAGACTGTCCCTCATCCCCTTTCTGCCCATTCTGAACTGAAGCAATCATGATTCTGAATTTGGTGTTCATCATTCCTATACGTGTGTGATTGCATGTGCATTTTACCACTACTATCTGTCTGGGTATGTGTGTGCATGTGTGAGTATCCATTTATAACGTATGGTATTATTCTGCTTATTTTAAGTAGTATATGGTAGGGGTCATTTTACACCTTTCTTGTTCCTTCAACGTTATGTTTTTCAGATTATCCATATTGATTTATATAGTATAAGAATCTAGGGGTAAGATTGTGTATTTCAATTGTTGTGTAGTATTCCTTTATTTTAACTATTTTATGGTTTCTTTGCCCACTATCTTGGTGAAAAGCATTTGGTTTTCTCTTTTCACTCTTTTTTTTTTTAAGATTTGATTTATTTGAGAGAGAGAGAGCATGAACAGGACAGCAGAGGGCAGAGGGAGAGGGAGAAGCAGACTCCCCGCTGAGCAGGGAGCCTGATGCAGGGCTCCATCCCAGGACCCCGGGATCATGACCTGAGCTGAAGGCAGCCACTTAGCCTTAACCAAAAGAGTGACGCAGGTGCCCTCCCCTTTCACTCTTAAAAACAATACTATAGCAAACATTCTCGTACCATTTTTTTCTTGACATCCTAGGTGGTTACTCTGGGGTTATTGGGAAATGGAACTTTTGGGTCAGAGACTGAAAACATTACGTCGTTGTGCTTAAGAGCAAGGCACTGGAATCAGGCTGCCTGGGTTCGAATCCTAACTCTGCCACTTCCTGGCTTTCCCAAGAAGCAACGAGCAGCAGCTATTTACAGCCCTTGTGAACACACATGCACTACCTCAGCCCCTGGCCTCATGCAGTCAGCTTGGCTTAGGTCCCTTTGGCTCCAGTGGATCCTGCTGGAGCCAGTCCCCAGCAGCCACTGCTTGCCCCTGGAGCCAGAATGCAGCAGGACTGTGGCTTCACATGCAATCGCTGCTTTGCATTTCTGTACCATTTCTGATCCATGAAGAGGTTTATTTTCAAGCCTGGAGATATTTTTTAGTTTTCCGTTTTAATATTTTATTTATCACTGCTACGTGTTTGCAGCCGAGGGAGTACATCAAAGCATGAACTTATTGTGTCACCTTAACCAGAAGTTGATAATACCTCCACAGCCTTTTAAAATAAGCACACGTCTTAGTATCATCTAATCATAGATTTTTGGAGCTGGAAGGGATTTTAGAGATAATGAAGGCCAATAACCTTATTTTATAGGTGAGGGAATTGTGGTCTCGAGAAATTAAGTGATTTACCGAGGTCATATATCTAGTTAATGGTGGAGGGCAGGACCAGAACCAAAGCCTGCGGGCTCCCTCAGTAGTCCTTTTGCCAGTTTCCACTATTACAGTTTTGTCTCTAAACTATATTTGCATGCAATATTTTATTTTTAACAGAACTCAAAAAATACAGGAGAATCTATGCAGTTAGAAAAACGACACGTCATACTTTTAAACTGATATAGAAGATGTTTTCTCTCGAAAACATTTGAGGTAAAAGGAGGAGTACAGTATTCACTGCCTTGAGCTGACTATGTTTTCATTAGAAGGCACCATGCCTTTTGACTCTCTAGATTTCTGCTGCATTTGGTTTCCTTGACTTCCTGAAACTTATTAGGGTGGGCCCATCAATAATGGTGCCGATACTTCCAGCCTCCTCTAGCACCGGGTCTGAAAATGAACAGTGATGAATGCATATGGCCAGCGTGTACAGTGATAGCCTATATTTCTGCTGTCATGTAGAAATGGCAGGTAGTTTAACTTAGAAAAAAAATTACTGAGAAAGAGCAAATACTCCTTTTCATTAGGGTTTCTGGACTTTTTTAGGGTATGCATTTAGAATCCGGCATGTTTGTTAAAGCCTATGGAATTGTTTTATCCTGTTTCTAGATCTTTTAGCTGTGCCTAAGCACCCGTACGCTGCTATGGAGAACTGGGGACTAAGTATTTTTGTGGAGCAAAGAATACTGCTGGATCCCAGTGTTTCATCTATTTCTTATTTACTGGATGTCACCATGGTCATTGTTCATGAGATATGTCACCAGGTATGAGAAAAAGAATTGGGTGTAAGTATAATTGCAAACTGTTGAGAATGCAGAATGATTTCAGATACTTAGATTAGGAGCTAAATTATTTTCCTCCCAATTAAGTTTTAATTATATAGAGAGTACTGTGTAGTTCTTTTTGGATGATATGTCATTTTTCTCAGATGACAGCACAAACAAAAGCAAACCCACTGATGGTATTGAATAAACAACTGTCATTCAGTTTAGTTGAGGAGTGAAATGGCACTGCAGCCTCTTCGGAGACCCTATCCAGTCACGAGTCCTTGTCAACCTTGCTTTATTTCCTTGTGATTATTGGTGTGTATATATGGTAAGTGCAGTGATGGCGGTGATTTATTGCATTGCTGCAAGATGCAGCTGAGTTTTGTGTACGTGTCAAAATTTGCTTTGGCTGAAATCAATTTGTTATTCCCTTTTTCCCATCACAGAGACACTTAGGAAGTCTTTCACTAACTCAGCCATAGACTCTTTGTTCTCCAGTGATTGATATTTTTTTTGTCTTGGCATGTTTAGAAATTCATATGTAAATTAGCCAACTTTGTAGTGAAGCAGAGATAAAATTAATTTCATTTTGATTTTATGCACTTTCTTACAATGAGTGGAAGGCATTATAGAGATTTTGCAATGCTTATTTGAATCTTGATTCTAGTTAAAAAAAAAAAGACAAAACTGAAAATAAATGTTCATGCAAATGGAAAGCAATACCTGTCCTGGTGAGTATGGATAGCTTTAAGTTAAACCACTGGAAATCCCATTGTTATACTGTATGGCTTCTATTTGTTATAAACCCAAAACCGTTTTAAAACACTAGAAAAACTCCAGAAGGAACCTATGTGGAAAATGCTGTCAGCAAAAGAAAGTGAAGTGCTAAATGCTAATACATGAAAACTGACATAATGATAAATTGGTTCAGGCCATATGGCCGTTTCCCTCAATGCCAACCTTCTGCAAGTAAACCTGCACGAAGTTTGTACCTGTCATGCTTGCCAGGTCAGGCATGTGTCTCTTGCCTCAGACGTAAGGGGATCCATTGCACAGATAATCAGGGTTCCTCCACTGTGCTAAAGAGGATGCTTTCCAGTGAAACATAATTCTTTGAGGCATAAGCAGTTTCCTTTTTGCAGATTCCTAGAAACCGGTTACTTGTATAGTTCTGTTGAAGTAAGAGCACACCGATGATGTTATCTTTGTTCCTAGAACCGGATTTCATTTGTTCCATATTACATGTTACTTTCTTGTTAGAACTTGGCAGTGCAGGCTACTAACCATGAGAAAAGGGTCCAGAAGCTGGGAGAAACAGAATTTCCACTCTCATTACCAAATTATTTTCCACATTACCCTCTCTCCCACCTAGACATTGTCATGATTTTTAAGACAGGCTTTCAATTTAAAGGAGAAACATACCTAAAAAAAAAAAAAATAAATAAAGGAGAAACATGCATTTTTGATTAAGAATAAAAATGATTTTAAATATCATTTATTTTATGGTCATCAACGTAGAGTTAGTTACTATCTCTTATTCGTATTTCAGCTAGAGATCCTCTTGAGTAACTGATACTTTATTATTAATATTGAAACGCTCAGTCACTAAGCTCTTTACTGGAGCTCCTAAAGCTATACCTGATCTGATAGTATCCGCCTTCTCCTTCTGTTTCTTAAATATCTCATTCCCACTTAAGGTCTTTACACTAAGTGTTGCTTACATCTGCCTGGAATCTTCTTCCCAAAGTTTTCTCATGGCTGGCTCCTTCTTATCGTTAAAGTCTGAGCTCAAATGTCACCTGCTTAGAGAGAGCATTTTTGCTTTTGACAATCTAAAGTGGTTCTTTCCCCATTCCTATCACATTTTATTGGATCTGGAATTGTGTTGTTCATTTGCTTTTATATTTTTTATTTTGTATCTCCCCTCATTGCCCTTGCCTCCACAATTAAGTGTCAGCTGCACAAGAAGGGACATTTCCTGACTTTTCATCATCACACCCAAAGTCTTTAGGATCACTCTAGGCATATAATGTTTTTGTTTTTATTTTTAATGAAAAAAAGAATTTCTTTAACTTTTTGCCAAACTAAGCAAGGATGTCAGAGTGGGGCATCATGATCTAATTAAAACACCGATTAACAATGGCAACATTATTGGGACACCTTGGTGGCTTGGTCGGTTAAGCATCCAACTCTTGATTTCAGCTCAGGTCATGATCTCAGAGTCTTGAGATCGAGCCCCGTGTCCAGCTCCGTGCTGGGTGTGGAGACTGCTTAAGATTCGCTCTCTCCCTGTCCCTCTGCTCTCCCCCCCCCACTAGCTTTCTCTCTCTATCTCTCTCTCAAAAAAGAAAAAAAATGACATTATTTTTCATGAAGGAATTTTAGAGAGTTTTTTTTTTGGTCCAGCCCCTTATTATCACAAGATCACGGAGAGTCAGGTGTGGAGCATCGTGGAAGCCCTCAGTTCCTTCAGTCAGCCAGTGTCTTCTTTGAGTTTTCTGTGCTGTGGGAAGGCAATGCTTCCATACCCCCTGTGATGAGTAGCTCACCACTTGTGGCAGTACTTTCCATTTTTGGCCATCTCATTCTGTTAGAGGGTCTCCTATATTTTTAGCAGACATCTACCAATCCTGATTTCCATCCATTAGTTCTTATTTGTTCTTTGTAGGGCCACAGGACACAAGTCTCTTCCTCTTCTGTGTACCAGGTCTCCAAATATTTGAAAATAGCTGTAATCAGTTTTTTTCTCCTGAGTCCTTTCTTCTCCGGGTTAAATATTCCTTTTTTATTCCTTGGTCATTATATTTTTGTTTTTCCCTGAAAGCATTTATAAAAACAAAAACAAAAACGTAGTGTCACCAAGTATTTGTGTCACCAGTTGAACAAATCAATTGTCTTGCCACAGTACATTTTAAGATCACAAAATCTGTTAGGGAATGAATTCCAGTTATGATAGTCATAGTTTAATACATTTAATTTTAGATAAAATCATTCTGATTTTAGATAAAAAATTTTGATTTTATCTGATACTCATTCATTTTTTAATTGCAGTGGTTTGGTGACCTTGTGACTCCAGTATGGTGGGAAGATGTGTGGCTGAAGGAAGGTTTTGCTCACTACTTTGAATTTGTTGGCACGGACTATCTCTACCCTGGCTGGAACATGGTAGGTGCACTTTTTTTAGTTGTTTGGACTTCTAGTGGAAGGTTGGTCTTGTGTTACAGAGCTTATGTTATCATTAGAGGCGGCTGAAAATGCCATCTGGAAAATCACCTGTCCAATAAAGAAAAAGTAACCAAAATTTAAATTTAACTTAAATTTGAAGTATTCCAAAAAAGTTCTGTTTATTTATTAGAACTGAATAGAGTTTGGTTGGTTATAAGTTGATTTCAAAATGCTATAGCTTTTCTTCTAGAAATATCTTAGATTGTTGCCTTTGAGAACAAAGGAAAATTCTTTAAGATTGAGAAGGTAACAGTAATTCATAAGTAATATTTTGTGTATACAGTATTTCAATATATACAAAAATGAGACCTTAGTATTTCTTCATTGTGACTAAAAATTAAAACATTTGCTTATTTATAGAATACATTATGGTTGTGGATGTACTCTAGGATCAAATGACTTAGGAAGATGTCATTAACTTCATAAAGAGTTATGCATGTGGTACCTGCACTCTAAGAACATATCTGTCTGTCTGAACCTGAAGTCGAGTTTGTTGTCCCTTAAGCAGTGATGTTTCTAGAACATCCTAAAAGAAAAAGTGGAGGGAAGGCATGGTTTTTATGTGTCTTTTAATATAAGGTTTTCATTTTATATGTTTTTATTAATCAATAAGCGACTGTGTTATTATTAAATGAAACCCAGGGTATATGCTGTTTTGGAACTTGAATTTTAAATTTAGCTTAAGTGATACTGTGTAAAAATTGCCAGATACTAACATTTGTCAGCTTCTAGAAACTCATATCTCACTTGCGATATAGCATAGCAATAACATGTATTTGCACTGCTCTTTTTTGATGTTTAAAGTATTAATAGTAAGTGATTACCTAATTATCTGTTAAAATTATGATTATGAGTTGAAGAGTTAAACCAAGATGAAATACGAAGGTGTCTGTAAGTCATGACATAACTTCTCTACCATCAATTCAGCCAACTTCTACTGCATAAAAATTGTGATCTTACATATCTCACAGAGGAACCATGATAATAGTAATATCATATTGATATGTTTTCATTATGTTCATGCAGAGTTGTCCTTATTTTGTAAAAGCAACATGGGTCATTTCCTCAAACAATGAGATCCTTTTACTTAGCCCTCTGTATCTAGATGTGTCTGCATATATGACATGATTCTAAAAATCTTACTGAAACTGCTTTATCATGGCAGTGGAAATAAGTGAAAATGCCTTTAAAGAACTTTGAAGAAAAATCACCAATGCCGTACGATATTAATTATTTAAAGTATTCTTTTAACAAATGTGAAATTTTAAAACTGAAATGTTTAAGGATATTGAAAATATTCCCCAAACTCCCCAAAATATCTTTTGATTTTTAGATGACTTTGAACCAACTTTGTTTAAAATTTTCATTTAATTTTCATTATGCTGTGGATTATTACTGATTTATAATTTCATTATGTTTCAATATTAAAAAAATGACCTTATTACAAGTGGCATGCTACTCATATAGGTAAGCTTTTTTAAAAGTTCATTCAGCTATCTATCGTAAAATCCCTTCTATTCATCATTATGAAAAATACATCTTGGATTAAAAAGTAATCAACAGAATTATACATGGGCTGAAAACTGACAGCTTTTGATGGCGTTAGCATGGCAATATATCCCAAGTTTCAGTGTCTTTATATTGGAATTTGTCTCTGAATGATGTTTTGTGTTCTTTCATCACTTTTATCAGTTAAGTTATAAATGTAGGCCTTCTGGAGAACATATTTATAAGATGTATTGAAAATGAACATAAAGTATAAATAACCCACCTGGGACTTTGTTCTTAATAGAAATACAGACCATGAACTGAAAGTATAAAAACCTTGGGGTGGTAAGATCCAAGATTTTATTTCTTATAAATCCATATTTTATAATTAAGAAATGAGAATTAATGATGGTATAAGTACAGTGGTATAGAAGGCTCACCTTATTAAACTAATAAATGAAAGAATGAACTCCATTATAATTAATTAGGCAATAGTGAGGATGTGCAGGTCTTACTATGATGTCTCCTTATGTTCAGATCGTAAAGATTATAAATACATTCTGATCTCTGATTGCTTTTGCTTTGTAGTGGCTTTATTTAGTTGGTAGAGTACCTCAATATACTAAATTCAAAAAACTGATGAGAAGAAACTATAAACAAATTGCTTCTCTATATATCATTAATATCGTCTTTGCAAACAAAATTTTAAGAATAAGTCAGCCCCACAGATAAGAGGATATTAAGTGACTTTCAGGCTGTGGCAGCACTATTTTTCATAATGGCATCAGCAAGAGTGGAAGAAATACTAGAAAGAACAAGAGTGACGGCTGTGTCAGCAGTAACTCATACTATTATGATATGGCACAAAAGTTTACCTAGGAGTGCAAGGCTTGGGCTTTGCTAGAGCTTAGCCTAAAATAGAAAAATCAGAAGTCAGTCTTGTGTCAGGAGTAAAGAAATTCAGGAAGCTGACCTCTTTTGTCTCTAATCTCAAAAACAGTGCTTTTATCATTTTTACACACCAAGTCTCAAGCATGAAAATACAATTTCAATTTTCTAGGGTGATTGCTATGACAATCTACCTTCAATGGAATAGCAATAAAGAAGCCCAGAATTACATAATATTGTCAAGGAAGTTCTTGTTCTGATTTAGGCCAGTATATTTGCTTAGTCTGCTTAGTTAGTAAAATCTTAGATTTTGTGTGTGTGTGTTGTGTGTGTGTGTGTGTGTGTGTGTTCAGAGCCAGTTTCTGATACAGAAGTAATCAGTTTTTATATTAGAAACACTACATGGAATAAAAACTGTTATGATAGTTTTGTTCCCAACAAACTAATCAAGTTTACCATTTTATAGAAATGGGCCTTTACCGGTAGTATGATGTAAGGTCAGGGGAATGGATTGGAAAGAAGAAATTCAGCTTCCAGGAAAGGTGTTTCACTTCTCTGATTGTTTCTTATCATTTGAAAAATGGAGGCAATTGTCCTGACTTATCAAGCTCATAGAATTTTTTGTGAAGATAAAATAACTTGCAAGGTCTTTGAAATGTATGAGCCACTATACAAATGTGGGTAGGCATCATGTACCTGGGAAATAAATGCTCCATTAGAAAGGCACATTGATTTTATGTATAGATGCCCTAACATTTCCAAGCCCAGTCATCTGTTTTGACACCCTAGATTAATAACAATTATGTATAGATTACAAAACAATTTTTATAATCTTTTTAACTAGACTCAGTCTCACCAAATCAATTCTTATCTATACTGGCAATGTGGTTTATTCTATAGGAATATAAGCCTTATATAATGTTTCATTCATCAAACAGAAGTGTCAAGATCATCAGAAGCAACTTCTTCAGCTCGGGGCTAAGGATACACTTCAGGGGCATGTAGTCCTTTTGCTTGACACTATTTCATCAAAGTTGGCTGTTAGTGACAACGTTATTGGATGAATCAAGTTATGGTATGATATTGATGGCGGTCATATTAAATCTCACTGTGTTCCCTGGAAGGGAAGAAAAAAAAGGGAAGATTTAACACAGTTACTATTCTTCAATAATTCTTGATCATTTTAATTTGAAAAAGTCTATAATAAAAGAGTTTTAGTACAAGAAAAGGATGCATGGTTAAATGCTACTCTGAAGAATTCCTGATTTTATAGACCTGGTGCTGATGCAGGCAAAATCATATCTCCTCTGTGTATTGCATAAGTTTTCATTATAGTTTGTATCTATATTGTAGACATGTCCTTTAGTTTCCTGAATATAGCATTGTAAGGATGTGCTGCTATAATGAGAATTATTAAACATGAGTGTATATTCTTTTGTTAAATGAACTGGGATTCTCTGGAGCTGCACACAGCAATAACTTTGTATGCTGATAAAGTCTGCAGACTGGGAATTCTCCCTAAATTTTTATGAGGACACATACCTGGGCATACAGATAATATTAATGGAGAATCATGCAACTAAACTTCATTATGCTAAATACTAAAGATATCTTAAAGTGTATTGCCCAAAACCTTGAAAAATGTTCTCAATTATCTCTATCATGGATAGGACTAAAATTGTAAAAATGAATCCTGCCATTAGACTTAGTATCATTTTAATGTGCTCCAACAAAAATTGCCTGCCTAAGTTAACAGGCATTGCAATAAAGTTATCTTTACTTTTTAAATTATTTTATTTTTACTCAAAAAGAAGTTGAGAAAATCATTGATGAACTGAAATATAGTTGATTGAGTTCAGTGTTTTTTTTTTCAGTTTAAATGTAAAGATATACTGCTTCAGCATTCCAAATAATAATAATCACTTTGCTAGTGAGAGGGCGGAATAGAATGGTAGAGAGAAAACATCTTGGTTTTTGTTAATATTTTACTTGTTCAGCTCTTCATTTCTCAAATACATACTTGACTTAATGTCTGTAGGGGAAAAATGCTTTTGCGTGCTTTTCAAAATAAGTTAATAGATGTTTTAATAATAGTTGGTATATTGATACTATTGTCTATATTTCATCAATACCAAAATATATTTGCTCAGTAGGGCTGTAGGGTCACAGACAGATCATGTGGAAATTAAATATTTATTTAGAATCATAAATACTGAATACCAAATAAATGTGTTTGTATATTCATGATTTTCCATGTAGTTGTGTTTGTCTATTATGATCAAAATCCACATTATAATATTCTTTCTACTCCTGAGAAGTCAGTAAATTAGAAGATCCAATTGTTTTCAACTAGTCAATGATATCTATATTTTTTCAAATGACTAACACATATTGAATATGAAAAATTTAAAGGCTTCTTGTGACTAGTTCCACAGGGTTATGGTCTTTTTGATCCTGTTTAGTAGCTTAGCAGTGCCATTTATGTCAAAAGACTAGCAGGAAGATGGAAGGAGTGTCTACCTGGGTCTCTTGGGGAACCACAGCCTTCAAAATAGACCTCTTCT